AAGCGGCCACGTGATCTGAAGCTGATTATATGCCGCCGATGAATTGATTGATTGAAAACACGTTTATTGACTTTATATTGCGCGGAGCGCGCTGCGGAGGTCAGTTAGAAGGAGGAGAAGGGATTAGGAAGCGGGGGCCAAAGAAAAGAGAGGAGGAGGAAGGGTGTGTACTTGGGCTAGTTGGTTATTCATGAATAGGAGGTAGAAGCGCTAAAAAACGACGGACAAGTTGAAGAATGACGAACACCACAGAGCGCTAACTTGCAACTGAAGTTTATTACTGAAAAACACGTACACATATATACACCGTGACATCAAAAAGACAAGTGGCAATAATGCCGCTTCATCTATCTAAGGTTAATCTATGAATTGTTTACTATTTCGAATGATTTCAAATATGCCACCTCAGAGCTATACAGGTTTACTGAGGGAGTGCTGACACACATGCCCTGATCGTACTTCAAAATAAAAAACGCCTCCGATATCTCTCTCGTTTTTTTGTCTCTATTCCGAGTTAAGATAACGGTGTTGTCAAGCCGTGGGACACACCCACATCTGTTACAGTGTACAGCCAGATTGCCCGAGGGTGATGATCTAACTGACAGGGCATGTTCCCTGAGTCTGTCGTTTATGCACCGACCCGATTGCCCGATGTACACCTTTCCGCATGATAAAGGAATTTTATACACCACTTGTTCCTTACACTCTACGTATCTTGTTTTATGATTCTTATGGCATACGCCTACGCGCTCATCACCACGTGCCACCCTTCCACATAGCTTACTCAATTTTTGAGGGGCTGACAAGAGTACAGGGACCCCATGCTTTTCCCCCACTTTCTTTATTCTATGGCTCACCTTATGCACATAAGGTATCACCGCTGGTCTAGACTTTGGCTTGTCTCTCACGCCACATTCCCCTCCCCCCCGAAGTTTCTTTAGTAAGCCTTTAGTAAGGAGGAGGAGGCCAACACTTCATGGCTTCAAGGCCTTCGTCGACGAGGGAGGGGGAGGCCGTATCCTCTTGGCTGTAGCCGATGTTGATCATAGCCATGCGCTGGGGTTGGCAAGGCACAGGACACGCGCTGAGTTCCAAACATTGTTATGGCTCGGCTGTTGTCGTCATTGCAGCGATTGGACACAGGACACTACCCGAATGCGTCTCGAGCTATCGATTATCACGAGCCCAAATCGAGTGTCCACGCCATGCTCGGGTCCAATCTATGAGCCGAATTCCGATATCGTCACTGGGCGGTACTCCTACCACCCAGCTACGTCATCACGTTTTGCGAAGGAGAGATTGAATGAAAACACTCGGTTTTGTCCTCGAAATTACAGCGCAACAAAGGAGTTTCTTGGTCAACGGCGTTGCGTGCGAGTATCCTTGAGTCCCACTAGTGCCAGTAAGCTCGTGTAAAGTAAAAAAAAAGACATTCCAATTGAATATCGTTGCACCGCCCCTTTAAAGGACAAACGCAAACACATCGAGGGGCTTTAGTCCCTACAGGTTAGTACAAGGCCACAGTAGGGACTGTACTAACCACAGTCCCTACTGTGGTTAGTACAAAGCAAACGCCACCGCCGATCGTCATGATTCAAAAGTCCGACTTCCACAGCATTAGCTTCGGTGTTAGAAAGCTCTAATACTGCTTTGATTTATCGCGAACTGTTTAAAAATCTGTGGAGGATGGAAAAGAATTTCCTGTGATTTCAAATAACGCTTCAGATAACTGACAACCATCATTTTAACCACTAGGATTTGTATGAATCATAGCTTATTTAGTTGCTCTAGTTTAGACCGACCGCACATGCACAGAAAGAGAACGAACTGCTTGATTTCGCGCTTTTTGCGTTTCTTCAGTGGCTACAACAGCCCGTAGCGTTGGCTGCACTCCGAACTAAGGTAAAGCAAAGCAAATATTCGGATGTTAAGGTTTTACAAGCCAAACCAACACAAATCAGCTAACACACCCCAATAAAAAAAATAAAACGGGTTTATTTTAACTAACTGAAGATCTTTTGGCGTGCAACCGAAACTCAGATTGGCCTCCGTCAGATTGTGGGCACCTCTGCCGGTATTTAAATTAGACAAGATTCGTGGGCCAGCGCATTGGCTCAGATACACTGAAGCGTTTTAATGCTTTGTGTTTTCTTTTAATATTATTGCCTCTTAAGAGCCACCGAGGTGGTTTTTGAATCAAAATATTGTAGGACCGTAAAATAGTTTGTTGTTGGGCGAGTTGGTGAACGTTTCGATACATGGTTTTGCGCAAGAAAGACGGACACAAGAGAGAGAAACAAACACGAGCGCATTCCCATTCCGACAAGAATAGTTTTATTGCGAAAATGATTTTTGCAAGGTCGAAAAACATTTAAATGTTTTCGCATACGTGGCGGAATTCCAAATGGAGGAATCGGTTTAATGGCACCCATTTCATTTGGATCGCGTCAGATATGTGTACCGACGCACAGTCGAATGCGTGCAAAAGCAGCTGAGGTGCACCCGCAGCTTCTCGCTTGTTGTTCTGTCATCTCTGGCTCGCACACTGCGGGCGTCCAGGCTAAAGACAAACGAAAACATATCGAGGGGCTTTAGTCCAGGCATCTGCCACCCTGACATCTGGCGCTTTTTGTGTCTTTCACGTTGCGTTCCAAGCGGCACACGACAGCAAATGCGCCTCAAGCTATTTTTAAACACGTGTCGCCCATTGTATTTTGTATTAAGAAACTGCCATTCGCCGTAAATGGAAAAAGGTTGAGGTGTAATAACATTCTTAACATGAAATATATCAATATTAAAGTTCTCGAAAATGTAATATCGAAGGATGCTTTATAATTCAATGTCTCGTAATTTTGATTAGTTGATGTGATTCCCTTTTTATAGCATCATAAAGCAATACCATTTTAAACTTTATTTCTTATTTTAAAGTATACATTATCTGTACAGTACGTTGTAACGATGGAACGTCATAACTCGATAAATAGTTTCTTCAATATCAGAGACTGTTGTCAATTAAAAGCTAAATAATGAACTAACAAGTAAAATAATCGTAATATCAAGGCATTAAAGTATCTTTGAAAGACGGTTGTTTAATTTGACATTAACATTCTTATTGTAGAATACGTAGAAAGAAATTTATAAACTGTCAAAAAAGCACCAAAATGCCATGCATAGTGGGGTTGCACCTTAAGGGCCAACCGAGTCCGACTGTGGCAAAGAGAGCTCAAAGCTTTGAAATGGCTCCTGCTGAGGTGGCAGATGCATGCAACCCAGAGCCGTATATGTAGAGAGCTTAGTCATTAATTGGTAAGAATAGGGCGAAAATAAGGGCATGCATTGGACGAAATTGTTTCAACGACCTTGGGCGCGATGATTGACAGCTCTTGTGACAGACCACAATACTCTGTTTCATACTTAGCGTTCAACGCTGTCAAAGCTGCTGGCGCGAGCATGGGGCTTGATCTTGTTGATCATTTGCACGCGTTATCGCGCAAACAAAGCCATAAATGAAGCCACGCGCTCGCAGCAATAGCTTTAACAGCGTTGCACGCTAAGTATTAAAGAGAATATAGCCACAAATAGTCTCCTAGCGGAGGCATGAGCTTAAAAAGTACCCTCCAATCTTCAATTTCTAGGTAAGAATGTATAAATTTCATTTCAACATGCTAGAGTTAAAATGTGCGACTCTTCGTATCTGATAGGTCAAGGCACGTGTCGTTGTCGTCACTGCGACATTAAGAACGCACCCAGTCTTTCTTTTGATTGCACAAGGGGCCGCTGCCGCTGCCGCGGCACCGAGTGAGATCTATCCCTTTTTTTTTTTTTTTTACTATTTGCAGGTTGAAACGTTTGATTATTTTTTCGTCGCCCATACCGGATACGAATATTAGGCGGTGTGGAACGAGAGTACGCGAAAAATATCTATATATTCATTCACTTTCAGCCTCAGTTAGAAACAAAAAAATACTCGCGCCGCGCTACGCGAATCCTTCATGGTGATCCCAGATAATTCTCACTTCGCAAGCTCAACACAGGGGGGATATGCTGCGCTGGCGGCGGCGACGCTATCGCTGCTCCACCTCGGCTTCCACCGGCTCCTCCCATTCACCAAGCACTCTGAATATACGGCTCTGATTAGCGTTTCACCGGATTTTTTTTTATTTATTTGGAGCACAGGGTCAGGGCCTATGAGGCTAAACAACCTTTTTAGAAGTCTCAAGTTAGGCGGTGTAGGGTTAACACACTTGCTTATTTCCCAAATTGCTTCGCGTTTTTTTTGTTTTTACGGGACTAGGAGAACCCTTTTCTGAGGACAGTTCCTCAATGTAAGCTGGCCTTTTTTGTGCCAACGTTCGTAGTGTCATCTTGTTTTTCGGAATCACCACGCTTAGCGGGCTTCCTTAAAGAGGTGGCTGATTACTTTTCATTTTTGAATGCAAGGTTCTTGAGCGATTATTTGAGTTCCGTTTTCAGGAAGCGGCTTGTGCGGGACTTGAGGGACATGCGTTTCACCATTCCACTCTATCGATCTTCATTTTCTGACGGACCTAGACAGGACTTTTTACAGAGGGTGAAAAAAATGTCAATAGCGCCACGAGTAAAAACTTTATTTTTTAAACTACATACTGCAACGCTATTAGTTAAGCCCTGGCTTCAAGATAAAGGAATATATGTACCCTCGACTATAAACTGCTACTTATGTAAGGCCCCTGAAGCCATTAATCATATTTTCATTGAGTGTTGGGATGCCATTTTCCTTAAGGACCGTCCTCAAAAGAACAATAAAAAATGAATTATACATAAACCCACATACTATCCGTTATCTCCCTCTGAAGAAAAATGAAACTATGCCCATTGATACTTTTGCAGTTCTTGGTCTTTATAGCCTCTGGCAATCTAGATTGAATGTACAGCACGCAGACGTCGCACTCCTGTATACGCACATTGTATTTTTAGAGTGTATTTCTACTTTGAAATCCTTTATCGAGGCGATTCCAGATATGCCCAAATGGGCAAGTGTTTTTGATCAGCTTCTTGCTACAAAGTGGCTGTAAGGGACGCCCAGAAGACTTGGGTGTTTCCTTTTTAAACCACTGACCAGCGAATGTGCTACATGCCTGTATATATATATATATATATATAAGTCAAAGATGCGTACTGTCGGAGTTACTAATTCGAAGTTTATTACGACGTTTCGAGCGGGGACCGCTCTTCATCAGGTAGCGAGTGTACAAGAAATAAGAGGGAGTAAAGTGCAGTAGGAAATAGAAACAGCGTTGACAAAACAGATAGTTTACACAGAAAGGAGAGGGCACCAAAACTTGCAAATGCATAAAAAAAAAAGAAAAAAAAAAGTTGTTGGTGGAGAGATTATTTCCTCTCGCACAAAAAAAAAAATAAAAATAAAAAGTGTTTGAAAGTCTTGGGTTGGGAAGGGGTGGCTCGTCTTCAAACAAGAAATAGGATACATGTGACCACCGACGCCCCCAAATCCCGTGACATTCCTTTGTGCTAAAGGTCGAAGCTAAACACTCTGGGGGATTTTTCCTTAGATAAGGAGTGGTAGGGATGTGACAGTTTATGCCTGCCTGAGATTAACCGCTTGAGCCGCATTTATCCGTTTTGGAGGTTCTCTTCTGACTTAAACGCATTAGGATGTGGTTTAACTATCGATTGTTAAGTTTAAAGATCTCCTAGTGTCTTCAACGTGTGCATCTAGAGAAGCTCAAGGGCGGAGAGGATCAGCTCTCCAACGAGCCAGCCAGCGAGCAACGAGCTTTGGGGTGTGCACCCTCCTCTTTTTTTTTTTCTCTCAAAAACACGCCGTTTGTCTGTACTTATTTCGCGCTGGCTCTCCGACGATGTTTTATTTGTAATTTATTTTGATGTTGCAATTTGTCATTTAAAATTTCCGAACCGGTTCGCGAACCGGTTCGCGGATCAAATTAATCGAACCGGAACTGAACCTGAACAAAATAAATGTACCTGAACCTGAACCGTAACCGAACCCGTATTTTTTTCGGTTTGACACACCGATATATATATATATACGGCTCTGATGTAGCCCACTTGAAGCCACTTTTTATATGCGTCTACGACGACGAGCACTCCCGCGTGGGTTCAAATCCCATTCTGGTCGCCAGTTTTTTTTTTTTTTAATTTCTATTTATTTAGAACGGAGCTTCTGTAACTGGATGCCTGTACGACGGCAATGAGGAGTACAGTGCCCGAGCGGAGGTGCTCGTGACCATGCGCGCTTCTTCCCCGCGCCCTTAACGTCACACACTACAAATTACCTTTTTGAATATTGTATTACTCCTAAAGATCCAGCAAGTGATATACCCACTTGTGTTCACCGCCGTGAAGCGGATGCCTCTGACGTTGTGACTTTTGATTCTCTTAAGTGGCATTATGCGCCTTGATGAGCTTGATTTTGCAAGTAGCGTCAAATGAATCACTGTGGTATGCACCTCCTCCCCTCGTCCTCTACTCTCCTCGTCATTTCCTGTGCTCCTCCTACTTCCTACTCCTCCTCCCCTCCTCCATACCCTCCCCTCATCCTTCCGAGCACCCTCCATCCTCCTCCTCCGTACCTTCCCCTCCAATCGTCCTTCTCCATACCCTCCCCTGCTACCACAGTTTGAACGCTAAATTTAGCTGGAAAATAGACGCCACGAAACCTCAACACCAATTCAGTTTCCCCGCTAAATTTAGCGCGGAAAATGACGTCACATGACTTCGTGGCACGTCACCCATGAACAAATTCAGTTTCCTCGCTAGATTTACGGGAAAATTGACGTCCCGTGACCTTAACTGCAATTTAATTTCCCGCTAAAATTAGCGGGCGGTTACGCCGCCGGCGACGGCTACGGTGACAGTGATAGTACGTTTACACCTCAGAAGAAATCCGCTCCCGGCGGCGACGGCGACGAGCGGGTTGCGTTTACATCTATTACCTTCGAGCGGCGGCGGCGACGCCGGCTGCGGCAGCTGTTCTCGTAACATCCCGTCAAATATGACGAGAAGGCGCGAGAGTTCCCGCCTCGGCTCTCTCTCTCCCGGGCGTTGCTGCTCCCGGAAGAACGCGTACTCGTGACGTAGGCAGCGTCGCGCTGCGCAAGAATGTCACATACGGTCAGCGAAACGCCTCGTTCGGCGGCAGAAATAGATCCCGGACCTATACGGCTCGCCGCCGCGTTTTCCGCCCAGTGTTTCACCCCAGCGGCAAAAGCTCGGCGGATTCGCTGGCGGATCCGCAAGTGTAAACTTACCATAACACCGCTATTAGCCCCGAGAGCGAACACAAGCGTCGCTGCGGTCGCCGCGCCTTGATTGGGTGAGGTGTACCGTGACGTCAGGGGGATGACTCCGCTCCGCGATCTCGCATCGGCTCGCTTCCCAGCACCGGTTTCCTGGTTCGGCGTTGTGTGCTGCAAGCTCTTCGAGGAGCTGGACTTCGTTTACCCGGTGTACGAGACGTTGAGTTAGGCCGACATTGACGTGCTTCCGTACATTTATAAGCCTGCTTGTCCCTTTTACCTTTAAAATTGGGATACAAATCCCGAAAGCTATCGGCGGAGGCGATTCCACCGATGAACCTTCCCGTTCGTCCACACGACACAAGGCAATTTTGCGAGGGATCGGTGAAGCGGTGGCACAAGTGTTACAGACGCTGGAATTCTGTTCCTTGCATGTTCATGATTTAGGACGACATTACATCCCGCTTTCAAGGCATTTGAAGTGGCATTTATATCATGGGCCTTTGGGTGGTCGGCAAATTAGCTCGCGACCCCGACTTTGCGCTGCCACTCTGCATGCGCTGGTTCGCAGATGTTTTAAAGGCCCTGTGTCTGATTATCTTTGAAGTGCTCATGGAACAGGGTTGTTTTACATAAATGTAGCTTCTTCGTGAATTAATCATATAGTTTATACACGTATGCGGGCATATTTTTTAGAAGATGCACAATTACTGAAAATTTGTTTGTATGGTAGCAGCAAAAACGGCCGAATTGCCCCCAGTTGCCTGTATGATATGTATTGAACTGCCCAAAATATGCACAGCAATAGTGCCGTAATTTCGAATGTTTATACTTTTTCCTGACGTTTTTATTCCAGCCTTGGGTATTTCAAGAATACACCGTTTATTCTGAATTATTTCCAATTAAAAGAGACACTGCTGCAGGTCCCCAAAAGCTTCCTCAGCCTCCAAGCTCCCTACAGCTGGACTCTCTGACATCAAAGGAAAACAGGAGTAAAAGCAAGCATTCGAACGTCTGTCCAGTGGTAGCATCTACCACTGGACAGACGTTCGAATGCTTGCTTTTACTGCTGTTTTCCTCTGCCGTAAGAGTAAGAGATTTCTGCTACTAGTGCTGCACCAGCACTAGTAGCAGAAAATGTGGAACTGTGAAGGGCGACAGTCCGCGATAGAAAAGCTTCTGGTATTTTAGATTCAGCTAGGACAATTCGATTTAAGCAAAATTTCATTTTTAGGGCTTAAGGGACTAATAACGAGCTAGACACCTTTGCTCTTTGCTTACGTTTGTTATACATTACTTGCGGGTTGATATAAACAAGTCCACAGATGCCACCCGTGTAGTCCATTGAAATAGTATCCGAATCCAGCAAAGGTCAAATGCGAGTAATGTATATTATAAATGTTCCTTGTTTTTCTTACTTTGCCCCTGCACTTGGGCTGTCTTACTTGTGATTCTCTCCCCATGGCCCAGACTGTATTTAGCGTGTTGCTCGAGCAGCATCCAGCTTTTCTGCTTCGGCGATCTTGTTTAAAAACAGAGATACAAAAAAATAGTATACATAACCTGCCAATTCATTCAGACCATCAGCAGCATTTGTTGAACGAGATGTAAATCTATAGTGATGCTCCTGCAATTGTGGCCATATTTCTTTATTTTCATATACCAGCTGCGATTCATGCGTTGCCTTCCCTGTCAACAATGCTTAAAATGTTGGTTGAACTTTCCCCTGTAGCTAGAGGCCATACCTCAATAAAGTCACATACGAAAATTTACACTTCCTACGAGAAACACGCCAAGAAAAATTAAATAGAAACGAGCGCGCTGACAGCTAGCGTCGTCACAGCCTCCACAGGGCGAGCGGGGCGAGTCAGGGAAAAATTCTCTCCTCGCCGTGACGTCACCCCGGTTTGCCGTAAGGGGGCGCCACGCGAACTTCTCGGGGCTAATACGCGGATAAAGGACGATCCAAGCCAACGCGTTTTTGTGGGCGCTTAGGTCGTGCACTTCCCAGAAATTGCGGTGATTCCTTGCGCCTTGCGGGCGCGCATAAGAGATGTGGATGATTTTAACTTTTTCTGGACGCGCGCAAAAACGCGCTGTGACGTATTCTCTCCCATATCCTCTCCCGGCCCATCGGTGGAAGGCGCGAGTTCCGGCTCCGCGTTTCTTCGCCGTCTAGCGTAGATGCCCTCCGCTCCCCCGAAAGCGCACCGTCCTATCCAACGCGCATGGCTGTGACTCAGAAAGCGCACCGGAAAGAGCAAAAACGTCACGAAATACGCAATATCCGGGAAGCGCACGACCTACGCGCGCACAAAAACGCGTTGGTTTGGATCGCGCTTAAAAGCGCCTAAGAGCTGCGCTCTAAAACCGCCCATTCTCTTGAAGGAAGGAGCCCATTCTTTTCGAATTAAAGTATTTGAGGATATGATTTTACAGCGAAGCTGTATATCTCTACCAGCCAAGGAAATTTTCGTGTCGTTGGCGTTGTAAGCAAAAAACTCCCGGCGAACAATTGGAGGCAAAACAGCTTATCTCCTTTGAAATCAGGCATACAGCATACAGCTCAGTATCCGTTTCAATAAAGAACAGCACAAAACAAGCATCATCAAAATTAGCATCAAAACCACACGATGGATGATAAGGCGCGTGTGAACAATAGAAACACTCTCCTAAGCGTTCCGGTAAAGATTAGGTTGGCAGCTGCTTCGAAAAAGGGTTGACGTCATTCGAAGCCCTCGTGTGAAGTGCGAAGTGCAGACGAAAAGGCAAACAGCGCGCAGAAAACGGGGACTAGAGGAAGTGCAGACAGGACAAGCGCTGACTCTCAACTGAAATTTAATCACCAGGAAACAAAACAAAGAAAACAGCAACTCCGCCCACGTCACATGACACATTCACCACGTGTCCAAGAAAAACATCTCTTTGCTACTCAGGCCCAGTGACGTTGCAAAGGGGCAAACGCATAAGTGCGAACGGCATAATGGCTGATAACGGCGCCTGCGAAGAATGCGAAGCAGGTTCCTTTACCCCGCGTGTTTTTTTTTTTTTTTTTGTGTCGGCGTTTTTACGAAAAAAAAAAGACTTTAGAAGATTTAAGCAAAAAGTACAAACACCACGCATACAACATACAGCGCAACATTCGTTTTAATAAAGAATAAGCACAAAACAAGCATCCTAACCATATAATGAATGATAAGGAGCTCCTGAAAACAATGCCAAACACGTAACACATACGTTCCCGGTGAGGCTTACTCTTGCCCAAGCTGCCGCGGCGACGGCAGCTTGCGATGCCAATCCCGCCCCCCCCTCCTCCCCCCTTGCGTCCGGACGCAGCGGATGCTACGAGCTATCCCAGCCAATCCCGTTCTCTGGACGTGGCCCGTGATACGCTTTCCGCGCGTCGCTGTGCCCCCTCTCTAAGGTCACGTGACGCTCACACGGCCTCCGATTGGCTCCGATGGCTCGTAACATCCGGTGCGCTTAAACGTAAGATGAAACGGAGTATAGCAACTGATTTCATTGTTCTGCAGCACCGCGATGAATAGGCCATGCATAGTTTGGCCTCCCGAGGAGCAGCGTGAAAACTAGGAGCGGCAAAGGGAAAAAGAAACGGCAATTCGACCAGCGGTGGCATTTCGCATATAGTGCAGTAGGCAATCGTGGCAGGTGATACCACAGCTTCGCTGACCAACCGCCTTCACAGCGTGGATTGGAGCAACAAACCTTTCTGTTTACTCATACTGTTTTAATCTCCAAGAGCGAAGATCGAGTTAAGCTACGCTTCGTTGGAGCGTACCGCCCGATTATTCTGTCGAATTTGGACTATAAGATTTTCATGAAGGTGCTGGCGGAACGACTTCAAGGCGTGATCACCCTTGTAGTCGGTCCTCACCAGACGTGTGGTATTAAGGGGAGGACACTTGTTATAAACGCGCATGTAGCGCGAAGTATTTTGGAGTGCTGCGACGATTTCCAACGAAAGGTTACGCTTCTACAGGTAGACCTCGAGAAAGCCTTCGACCGCGTATCCCATGAAATTTGTTTTTTCCATCTTAGAATATGTTCATTTAGGTTCGGTGCTGTGCGATGGGGTACGCATGGCTTGCCTTAACTGCGCCACCCGTCTGGTTTTTAATAAGAGTGTGAGTGAACGCATCCCCCTTTTTTTCTTCTGTTCGGCATAGATGCCTGCTTTCGCGGCTGCTATTTTGTATTTTTTCTAAAACCCTTTTGTTTAAATGTGTTACGTAGTGGGCATATACGCGGCTTTAATTGACAAGCCAGAGAGGTTCGTTTTTTCGCATTCGCCCATGATGCGGCTATTTTTTGTACTGACCAAAAGAGTGTAAAGAAAGCCGAAAACTAACTGAGAAGTTATGCGAGAACGCGTGTACTGCTGTAAATTGGCAAAAGTGTCAGGGGTTTAAGCATAAAGATTGGCCCGCCAAGCCCACTGTTTTTGAACATGTCACGTGATCCGACACGCCGGTGCGGCATCTTGGAGTTCCACTGGAACAATACTGCGAGAACGACGAGTATTGGAATGAAGAAGCTCAAGCGCTGCGCGCAAGGCGAATAAGTGGGGCGGGGAGAGGCTTTCCAATGTTTGCGCGTGCCTCGGTATGCAACGACTTTTTACGTGCGAAGGTATGGTACGCGCTGCAGGTACTGCACTGTTCGCGGGATAACATCCAGCGCATACACCGCGTTTTTGTTTTGCTTATTTGGAGCTCGACTTGGGAGAGAACGAGCCGAACTAATCTTTTCCGGCGTGTGAAGGATGGTGGGCTGGGTCTGTCGCATCTTTTTGTTAGACAACTCGTTAATAGGTTCTGTTTTGTAAGGGACCAGAAGGACCTTCTACTGCGTTCAGTCATTCAGGTGCGGCTAAGCAGAGCATTGCCCGAATTTATTGTTTTGAGTGATATTCATTCCAGTTATGGTATACGCGGTTTTTCGAAAGAAATTGTGTCTGCTTATTGGTTCTTCGCAGCGCGGTTTTCGCTCGAGTATTTGTCTAATGTGTCGCGAAAGCGTTTGACCAAACATTTGATTGTTTCCCTTTTTCTTACTCCACTGTACCGTTCCTTGTACAGTGCGGAAAGTGGTCAAGATATTTTGAAGCTTGTCAAGCAAATGAGGGTACCCGCCTTCCTTAAATTCTTTTTCTTCAAACTACACAGTGAAACCCTGCCGGTCAAAGTTTTTTTAGAGGGAAAAGGTATTCCCGTTGCATGTTAGGTAAACTGTTTACTTTGCAAAACGCCAAAAACGATAGAACACGTTTTCCTTAACTGCTGGGACGCAGTGTTCCCTTGGGACGTCCTTTAAAGGACCCTCAAAAAACACCTACCGTTCACACCTCGCGGAATCCGATATTTTCCTGTTGATGGAGGTGACAACATTGTACCCTATGACATGATCATGCTGGTCGGTCTCCATAGCCTGTGTCACTGCCGCATGGCTGTAAGACACGCGGACGTTGACGTGCGTCCCGCACACAACTATTTTGTTGAAATAATGTTTTTTGAAAGGAATGTTTAAGCTTCAGCAGCCACCCCAGGACTTTTGGCCGCTTCTTCAGGAGCTGGCGACCAGCACTGGTCTGTGAAGGTATTTGATGAGCTTGATATTTGAATGTGCACAATAGCCTTTGAGGCTTTTGTTTTAGCCTTTTATTTTATGTGTGATGTGTTTGTCACGTAAACCAAAAACAGGCAATAATTTAAAAAAAAAGCGTGGTCTAATGGCTAGGACACCTGGTTTTACCCAGGAGGCCCGGGTTCGATTCCCGGCGTCGGAAGGGCTGGGTCTCATGGTGTAACGGTTAGCGTTCTGGACTCTGAATCCAGCAATCCGAGTTCAAATCTCGGTGAGACCCCTTTTTTATGACGGCATTTGCTGAGCTATTTGGTGCCGATGCGGACAAAAAGCAACTGTCTTTCAGGTGTTCCCGTTCCGGCGTGGTCTAGTGGCAAGGATACCTGGCTTTCACCCAGGAGGCCCGGGTTCGATTCCCGGCGCCGGAAGGGCTGGGTCTCATGGTGTAACGGTTAGCACTCTGGACTCTGAATCCAGCAATCCGAGTTCAAATCTCGGTGAGACCTCTTTTTTATGACGACATTTGCTGAGCTATTTGGTGCCGATGCGGATAAAAAGCAAATGTCTTTCAGGTACTCCCGTTCCGGCGTGGTCTAGTCATTCTTTTTACGGCACTCGTCGAGTACGGACGCAAGAATAGTAGGCTCTCACGGAGCTGTGATAACGGCCCCCGCTGGCCGCGGTGACTCGGCTATCGGCAATATCGCTGCTACCAAGGACTACCCTATCGTCTTGCCTTCGCTGCCCTCCGGAGAGGCGATGAAGCGTGCAGTTATTCTGCACTGCGACATCGCCGGACGACCCTACAGGATCGAGGATTTTCGGCAGCCGCTGAAGGACGCCGGCGTCATCCAGGAAATGGGAACCTTAGGTGCGTACTGAATGTCGCACGTATGGTTCCTCAACTTGCGGACGGACGAGGCAAAGAAGAAGCTTTTCGAAGCCGGGTAGCTCGTCATCAAGAAGAAGAAATGCCTTGCCAGTACGGCGTCAGCTCCGCATAAAGCTACACTGGGTGTCTTTCGACGTTACCAGGGACGCCATACAACGAGCTTTTGCGGAGTTTGGCATCGTGAAGGAGGTGACGAGCGAGAAGTGGAGGGTCCCGGACTTCGAGCACGCCGAGTCGACAACCCGACTTGTCCGCCTGGAGCTGCGCGAGGGTGTCACGCTCGACCGCATCGCGCACCAGCTGCGCCTCGGCGGTGGCACGGTCCTAGTGGTAGTTCCCGGCCGACCTCCGATCTGCCTCAGGTGCCGCAGCACGGGGCACATTCGGAAAGACTGCCGCGTCCCTAGGTGCAGCGAGTGCCGCGCCTTCGGGCACGAGCAGGTCGACTTCACCCGGTCGTACGCTCGGGCAGTTGGGCGAGGCACGGACGGAGGAGATCAGAACGAGCTCCTCATGGACGAGGAAGAAGCAGAACGAGCAGCGGCGTCGGCGGCCACGCAAGACAAGGCCGAAGATACGAAAGAAGTCGTCGTTGTCGCCAAGGAAGGACGTGAGCTCGACGGGCTCCCGAAAAGTGTGTCTTCTGTTCCAGCCGCTCAACCGGAGTCGGCGACCGGGACCACCGCCAAGGTGGTGGACCCTGTTCCTGCACAAAGTGAGGACAGCCCTCCCACGGAGATGGACTTCGACGTGGCGGCAGTAAAGCGTCGCCATGACGATGTCAGCGCGGCATCGCAGGAGGGGCGGCTCAGTCAGCTTGAGAAGCAATGGAAGACTGGCAGCGGTCGGGGGATACGCGTCCCCAACAAACCGCGTTCGTCGTTGCTTACACGTGGCGACAAGCATGCTCCGTGACCGCCTGTTGAACTGGAACGCGCTTTACTACGCTAGCTGACAAGGGTAAGCGCCGTAGGGTCAGCCTCTACTAGTTGATGGTGACGTTAGAAAGGCCGTTGCGTTTTTGCGACATTAAACGCACGAGGGCTCTCAGCGAGGCGTAGACAGAACCAGCTTTACCGCCTCGTGACGGAGCAGGACCTGGACATTGTCGCCGTACAGGAGACTAAAGTAGAGAGCGTGGAGCAGACGGACGTTATGGTACGGTCTTTTACGGCGCGATATGACATCTCTGTCAGCCATGCGGTGGTGACGTCGGCGGGGTGTTTTTTTGCTTATTCGTAATAGTTTAGGAGCTACAGTCAAGTCCGTGACTACGTGTGCGTCGGGACGATTCGTATTATGTGATTTTAGTTTTTCTTCCTTAGAATGGCGTGTTATTTGCGTGTATGCTCCAACTAGAACTAAAGAAAGGTGCAGGTTTTTTGATGGCATTCAGCACTACTGTATCTGCGAGCGGCTTCTCATTTTCATGGGGGATTTTAATTGTGTGTCTTCTTCGAACGACAAAACCAGTTCTACTGCTTATAGTGATGCGAGCACCGCGAGTTTGAATTCCATAATTAATGAGCATGGCCTTGACGACGTTGGTGAATGCCTCAGAAATGGGCGGGAGGTACAGTTTACCCACTTTCAAGGGGTAAGTCGCACCCGCTTGGACAGATTGTATGTTTCGTTGGAGCTGCTTCCTTTGTGTTACGAGTACAGTGTACGCCCAGTGTCTTTCAGTGATCACTGTCTGGTATCTGCTTGCATTAAAGGAGCGGTGCAACGATATTCAATTGGAATGTTTCTTATTTGACACGAGCTTACTGGCACACATGGGACTCAAGGATACTCACACGCAACGCCACTGTCCAAGAAACTCCTTTGTTGCGGTGTAATTTCAAGGACAAAAGCGATCACTTTCATTCAATCTCTCCTTTGCAAAATTTGATGACGTAACGTGGGGATCGCAGCACACCCAAGTGACGATATTTGAATGCGGTTCATATATTGGACCCGAGCATTGCGTGGGCACTCGACTTGTGCTCGTGATAATTGCTAACTCGAGAAGCATTCGGGTAGTGACCCGTGTCCAATCGCTGCAATGACGACAACAGCCGAGCCATAACAATGTCTGGAACTCGGCGCGTGTCCTGCGCTTTGCCAACCCCAGCGCGTGGCTATGATCAACATTGGCGGCATATAATCGGCTCCAGATCACGGGGCCGCTTGTTCTGGCTGCGAGTTGAGGGGGTGAACGCTGCTCGTTTTTGTTTAATTTTTTTCTGGGACTACTATTGTGTGGGGTGAAAAACGAACGCGTGTTTCATAGGTCATTAACGTTAGGGATCCGTTTTAAGCGGTATTTGCGCAAAGTACAAAAATTGTTGCATAGCTCCTTTAAAGGTAACAAAGAAAAGAAAAATTCGTTTAGCTGGGAGCTATGGAAACTCAACTCCAAACTCTTAGAGGACTACCTTTTTAGAGCCCAAGTACAGGCTTCTATAGAAAAAGTAGAAAATGGGCAAAAATTGGAGTATGGGGCGAAATGGGAACTTTTTAAACAGGAAATAAAGATAAAAGCTTTAGAAAGAGCGAGCGCAATTCAGAATGAAGAAAAAAAGAAATGAAACGTTACTGCGTTACAACTTGCAAACGCTGATAAAAGAACAGTGCAGAATGCCGGGTGCATTCAAAGATGACATTTGTACTTTGAAGGCAAAACTTGAACTAATTGATAGAGAACGTTATCGTGGAGCGTTGGTGAGAGCGCGGTCTGGTAGGCTGATAGCTGGGGAGACGCCCACTAAGCGCGCCCTAGGCCTCGAAAAAAGGAACGCGCGTCGCAATGAGATAGCAGAAATAGAATATAGTAGTGTGCCTACTAGGGAAAAAGAAGAGATAGAACGCGTCTTTTATGACTATTACAGCACGTTGTATGCTCATAATTCCGTTCAAACGGAGTGTTTTAAAAAAGAGTTTTTGTCTTCTATGCCCCGCCTTGATGACGGAACAAAGGAAGTGTTGGAGGAACCCATTACACACGAGGAAGTTACAATAGCAATCGAGGCCCTAAACCCGGGGAAGTCCCCAGGTCCTGATGGACTACGTGCAGCTTTTTATAAGTCGTTTAAACGTGAGATTTCGCCCATCTTATCTATCGTTTTCGACGAAGCTTTTGAGCTGAACGTCCTTCCACCAACGTTTTTGTCGTCGCACACTGTGTTAATACCAAAAACAGAGGACGAAATCAAACTAAGACAGGTCACAGCTTATCGCCCCATAAGCTTAACTAACGTCCGACTATAAAGTAATAATGAAAATATTGGCCAGACGATTACAATCGGTAATAACAGAACTAGTCGGTCCCCACCAAACTTGCGGGATAAAGGGCAGAACTATTTTTACTAACATTCAAAAAGCTCGGAGCGTGCTGGAGTGTTGTGATGTTATGAATAGGGGTGTAGCTGTGCTACAAATTGACCTTGAAAAGGCCTTCGACCGTGTACCGCATGAAGTTCTTTTATCTGTCCTAGACCATGTAAATGTCGGTTCAATTTTACGCGATGGTGTGCGGACGGCGTACAGCGGTTGTACGACCAGTCTTGTAGTGAATAAGTCGGTTGGGAAGCGCATCAAGTTAGAGCGTTCCGTACGCCAAGGATGTCCTCTTTCACCCCTTCTTTTTTGCATTTATATAGAATCATTTTGTCTGAGCATCATAAGAAGCAACAGCATCAGTGGGTTTAACCTCTTTGCATCGGAAGTACGTAGTTTGGCTTATGCTGATGATATCGCTCTGTTTTGCGCAAATCAAGAAAGCATAGTTGAAGTTGTGAACATAGTGAAAGGCTTTTGTGCTGTCAGTGGAAGCGCTGTAAACTGGGATAAGTGTTTAGGTGTTTGGCATGGCCATTGGTGTTCCACTCCTAGTGTTTTTCAGAATATAAAGTGGTCAACCACCCATGTAAAATATTTGGGCGTACCTCTCGAGAACTACCGTGACATTGAGCCCTATTGGCGCAGGCAGGCACTAGAACTCCGCGAGAAAGCGGAAAACCGGAAAGGGTGGGAATTGTCTATTTTTGCCCGTGCGACAATTTGCAATTTGTTCCTTGCTAGCAAACTGTGGTATGTGCTGCAAGTGTTGCATTGCTTGCGTGTTAATGTTCAAAAATTGCACCGCGTTTTCGCTGTTTTTACTTAGGGCTCGTCATGGGAACGGACGAGTCGTATGAACCCTTTCCGGCGCGTCGGCGAGGGCGGACTAGGATTGTCACATTTATTTCTGCGCCAAGTTGTGAATCGTTTTAGTTATTTTCGGGATGTTAGTGACCCGTTTTTACGAACCGTCTACCAGGTGAGACTGTGTAGAACTCTGCCTGAGTTTATTGTTTCTTCGGCATCTGTGCCAGGCGGCATCCACGGATATCTCAAGGAAGTTGTCGCGTCATGTAAGTTTTTGGCAGCCAGGTTTTCTTTTGAATATTTGAGCGAAGTATCCAGAAAAAAGTTGTATAGGGATCTTTCTGACGTTGTCTTTCCCGTGCCTTTGTATAGAGCCTTGTATTGTGCAGGCCCAGGACAAGATATCTTAAAGCGTGTTAAGAGAATGCTCGTTCCGCCTGGGGTTAAGCCATTCTTTTTCAAATTACACACCAGCACTTTAACTGTAAAGACATTGATGAAAGAAAAGGGAATGTTCGTCCCGTGGGGCGACCATTGTTTTTTTGTGTCAAAAGCCCGAGACAATTGAGCATGTATTCCTGAAGTGCTGGGATGGTGTCTTTTTCTGGGACGTCCTCCAACGCACCCTCAGAAAAGATTTTCCGTTAGACATGCATGGTATTAGATACCTGCCCGTTGAAAACAAGGACGGCGTGCCCTTCGACATGATAATGTTACTGGGCCTGCATAGTATTTTGAGGTCACGGATGGCTACGCGCCATGCCGACATTGACGCGCGCGAGGCTGGGGAATAATTCAGCGAGAGTGTTGCCTCCATTGTTGAAGTGTACAAGGCTCAGAGCTGCGTGCCAGAGTGGATTCAACAACTAGAAGCAGTTAGGGCTTTAAAAAGATTTTAACTTATACTACTAGCTCGAAGGCCGGCTGGTAGTTTTTAGCACTGCCAATTTTGCCGTTTCTGTCCTCAGACTTGTATATATTGACTTGTAAAAACGGCAATAAAGAAAAAAAAAAAAGGCGTGGTCTAGTGGCTAGGATACCTGGCTTTCACCCAGGAGGCCCGGGTTCGATTCCCGGCGTCGGAAGGGCTGGGTCTCATGGTGTAACGGTTAGCACTCTGGACTCTGAATCCAGCAATCCGAGTTCAAATCTCGGTGAGACCTCTTTTTTTTGACGACATTTGTTGAGCTATTTGGTGCCGATGCCGATAAAAAGCAACTGTCTTTGAGGTGTTCCCGTTCCGGCGTGGTCTAGTGGGGGGATTCCACTTCCGGCTTCCAGCCAGAGCGGACGGCGCTATGAATCGCTCCCCGAAAGAGGCGGCGGCCGTTACCGGCCGCGGTGAATCGAATGCTTCTTTTCTGCCAAGCGATTACCGTGTACTTTTGCCTGCTCTGCCCACCGGAGATGCTGCTAAGCTCAGCGTGATTCTTCACGCTGATCTTCAAGGAAGACCTTACCGGATTGAAGACTTCCGTGAACCGTTGGACAAGGTGGCAGTTTTGCCGGGCGTGGCTGGTCTGGGGGCCTTCCAGATGAGCCACGTCTGGCTGCTGAAACTTCACTCGCTGGAAGCGAAGACCAAGCTTCTGGAAGCCGGCAACTTGCAAGTAAAAGGCCGCTTTTGCCTTCTCGTAGACCCGAGTCGGAGGGAGCTGCGCATCAAGCTCCACTGGGTCACGTTCGACGTCCCAGCGGAAACAGTGCTTCGTGCCTTCGAGCCCTTCGGCTCGGTCAAAGAAATTATCCGAGAAAAGTGGAAAGTGCCAGGCTTTGTCGACGTTGAGTCCACCACGCTGGTGGTACGGATGATGCTGAAGGAGGGCGTTTCCCTGGAAAGCCTCCCACACCAGCTGCGGATCTGCGGGGGGAATGTCCTGGTCGTCGTCCCTGGTCGTGCGCCGATCTGCCTCCGGTGCCACCGAGCGGGGCACATACGCCGAGACTGCAGGGTGCCCCGGTGTAACCAGTGCCAGGCCTTCGGACACGAGGCCTCGTCGTGTGTGAAGACGTACGCCCGCGTCACTGGCAACAACATCGCCGTGGCGTCGGACGACACAGAGTGCATGGACGTGTTCGAGGCCGAGAGAGCAGCAACAGCGACGACGCCGACAGACTAGCAAACCCAGGGCGGGCCCGCTGAGAACGGCGGAGTCTGTGATGAGGCGAAACCAAGACCTTCGCCGGGGGTATCAAAAGACAAAGCGGCCCCCGAGGTAGTCGAAGAGCTCGGGTCCGAAAAGGTGACGGACTCTCCAGACGTCCCAGCGGCAACCGCCGTGCCGGGGAACGATGACGGCAAGAACCGTGTCGACGAAGACGTCGGGACGAAAGTTCATGACGAAGTCAAGGTCAAGGGTGACGACGGCGGCAAGCCCGAGGAGGGCGAAGGTGGCGTCGATGGCAGGCTCAGGGGCGCAGAGACCGGAGCGGCGAGGCGACGACACGAAGGCGTAAGCTCCAAGATCGCCGACAGGGAACTGCGACGCCTCGAGCGCGAGTGGGTTGGCAACGGGGGACTTAGCCGTGAACGGTCGAGGTCTCGCCAGCGCAGAGAGGAGCAATTGAAGCGAGTGGTCAAGGCCTTCACTACTGTTGTAAAAGGTTTCTTCGCACGGTTTTCTTTTTCTAAAGGCAGCACTTTCCGGTTGGTCCTACCTAGAATTTAAGCATGCTAGAAAAGTATTTGCGCGTGGGCACTTTAAACGTACGGGGTCTGTGTTCCCGGCGCCGGCAGTGCCAACTGAGCCGCCTCTTTATTGAGTACGACCTCGATATTGTGGCGGTTCAAGAGTCAAAGATGGAAGGCGAAGGACAGACTGAGAGCATGGTGCGGGTGTTTGAGTCGCGGTACGACGTTTGTGTAAGCCACGCTGTTGGAACGTCTGGCGGGTGTCTTTTGCTTTTGCGAAAGGGTTTGTTTACTGAGGAGCAGGTTATTAGCGATGAGTCGGGACGCTTTGTCCTCTGTGATTTTTCTTTTTCTTGTAACCTCTTCCGTGTTCTTTGCATTTACGCACCGAACAGAATCGATGAAAGAGTTTTTTTTTTTTAGAGTTTTGAGAAGTATGTTCGGACGGATCGGCGTGTCATTTTGCTAGGGGACTTTACTTGTGTGTGCGCTAATCGTGACCGGGCGAACAGCAGAAGATTTCATGATGAAAGTTCTTTACTTTTGGGGGGAATGGTCGAACGCTACGGCCTAGAAGACGTTGCCAACTGCCTGTCTGGTGGAGGGGTTCTGCTCTTTACACACTTCCAAGGAGCAAGTCGCGCTCGCCTTGACAGAGTGTATGTTTCTTTTGAATTGCTGAGAGTGTGTAAAAAGTATACTGTTGATCACGTGTCATTTAGCGACACCTGCCTCGTTTCTTTTATGCTATGTTCATTAAAAGTGAAGCCAAAAAAGTTTGATTGGAATCTTTGGAAATGTAATACTAAGCTCCTTAGCGATGATTACTTCGTGAATTCAGTTCGCCAAACTCTAGACGAGTTGGTAAGGGCCGAGGGGAACGATTTTGGTGTAAAGTGGGAACTATTTAAACAGGATGTAAAAATGACAGCGCTTGAACGCTCAAGTGTTTTGAAACACGAGCAGGAAAAGGTAAAGTAGGAACTAGAAGGCCTGCTGAAAGAGTTGTTACGCGAAGAATGTTTATCGCCTGGGCTTTTTACTGATGACATTATCAGTCTAAAGAAACGTCTGGAAGCACTAGATACTGATCAGTATCAAGGGGCTGTTGTACGGGCTCGTCTGAAACGCATATCGGATGGGGAGATTCCCACCAAAAGAGCAGTTGGCATTGAACGAAGATATGCCGCCAAGAACGAGATAAGCGAAATTCTTTATCGGGGTGCGTTGTCGAGAGACAAGGAAAGCATAGAAAACGCGTTCGTAGAGCATTACAAAGGCCATTTTAGTTATTGCGCACCCATGAGAGCCGATTTTCAGTTTTTTTTTACCGTAAATGCCGAAGCTGGCAGACGAGCTTAAGGAAAGGCTAGAACAGCCTATCACGTTAGGTGAAGTCGAAAGGGCAATAGACGATTTAAAGAGGGGAAATCGCCTGGGCCCGATGGTTTAGGAGCGGAGTTTTATAAAGTGTTTAAAGATCGAGCAGCCCCTTTTTTGCACCGTGTTTTTTCCGAGGCGTTCCGACTTAATGTCTTACCCCCGTCCTTTTTGTCTACACATACTGTTTTAATCCCCAAGAGCGAGGATCGAGTTAAGCTACGCTCGGTTGGAGCGTACCGCCCGATTACTCTGTCAAATGTGGACTATAAGATTTTGATGAAGGTGCTGGCGGAACGACTACAAGGCGTGATCAACCTTATAGTCGGTCCTCACCAGACGTGTGGTATTAAGGGGAGGACACTTGTTACAAACTTGCATGTAGCGCGAAGTATTTTGGAGTGCTGCGACGATTTCCAACAAAAGGTTGCGCTACTACAGATAGACCTTGAGAAAGCCTTCGACCGTGTATCTCACGAAGTTCTTTTTTCCATCTTAGAATATGTTAATTTAGGTTCAGTGCTGTGCGATGGGGTACGCATGGCTCACCTTAAAGGGCAACTCCGCTTCATTTTTGGTTTTGAAAAAACAATGCAGTCCTCTTGAGTATCGCCTAGGAAGACCACACGTCAAATATTACGACGCAGTTCTGTCTAAATGTTTCTTAAACGGTCCGGCAAACTTTGCAACTCACCAAGTTGCCGAAATCGGCTGACTCGAGCGGGCGAATTCAGGCGCAACCAACAGCGCAGTCAAGGCTACGGCATTGGCGGAGCCAACATTGAGCTAAACGCCATCTACATGGCCCCCTTTTGCTTGTTTTTACTTCTCCGATCGAGCGTAGCGCGTGACATCAGCAACGTTGCCTCTCGGCGCTCAGCGGTGTCCACGTGATTGACGTACGCGCCTGCGCAGCGCGCTTCTTGAGAGCAGACCAACTGCCCGCCGTGGTCCCGCCGTTACCGCCGTCTTCCGCGTCACAACCACCGTCGTCGTCTCACCGTTTGTGATTATTGCCTCTCGGAGTTTCGTCCACACTATGGACACCACATGCGCAGAGTCCCAGACTTATGCCGCAGTTTTGCGGACGTCGTCCAATGCCGTAGACACAAAACGTGGCGAAGAGTGCGGAGCAGACGACACTCGCGCCTGCCGCACGCCCGCCCGTTTTTGGGCCGAGGATCACGTGACCTCTCGTACCACGTGACGGCCATGTACTTGGCGGCCCGTGGCCAATGTTGCTGGATGGAGCCGAAGTTTCGGGTTCGATTTCCGCTCGTGTTTAAAATGAGATTTAAAAATATATATCCCATTTTTCGCGAAGCAAAAGACGTAGTGTCTTTTACTAGGGCTTTTTAATTCGAAATCACTCATTATCCCGAAATCTTCGGCATTGAGCGGAGTTGCCCTTTAACTGTGCCACCCGTCTGGTTGTGAATAAGAGTGTGAGTGAACGTATCCCCCTTTTTTCTTCTGTGCGGCAGGGATGCCCGCTCTCGCCGCTGCTGTTTTGTATTTTTCTAGAACCCTATTGTTTAAGTGTGTTACGTAGTGGGCATATACGCGGCTTTAATTTACAAGCCAGTGAGGTTCGTTTTTTGGCATACGCCGATGATGTGGCTATTTTTTGTACAGACCAAGAGAGTGTGAAGAAAGCCGTAGAACTAACTGAGAAGTTCTGCGAGAACGCATGTAGTGCTGTAAATTGGCAAAAGTGTCAGGGGTTTTGGCATGGAGAATGGCCCGCCAAGCCCACTGTTTTTGAACGTGTCACGTGGTCCGACACACCGGTGTGGTATCTCGGAGTTCCACTTGAACAATACCGCGACAACGAGGAATATTGGAATGAAGAAGCTCAAGCGCTGCGCGCAAGGGCGGATAAGTGGGGGGGGGGGGAGAGGCTTTTCAATGTTTTGCGCGTGCCTCGGTATGCAACGCCTTTTTAGGTGCGAAGGTATGGTACGTTCTGCAGGTGCTGCACTATTCGCGGGTCAACATCCAGCGCATACACCGTGTTTTTGCTGTGTTTATTTGGAGCTCGACCTGGGAAAGAACGAGCCGAACCAATCTTTTCCGGCGTGTCAAGGATGGGGGGCTGGGTCTGTCGCATCTTTTTGTTAGACAACTCGTTAATAGGTTTTGTTTCCTAAGGGACCAGAAGGACCCTCTACTGCGTACGGTCATTCAGGTGCGGCTATGCAGAGCATTGCCCGAATTTATTGTTTCGACCGATATTCATTCCAGTTATGGTGTACGTGGTTTTTGAAAGAAGTTGTGTCTGCTTATCGGTTCTTGACGACGCAGTTTTCGCTCGAGTATCTGTCCAGTGTGTCGCGCAAGCGTTTGACCAAAGATTTGATTTTTTCTCTTTTTCCTACTCCACTGTACCGGTCCTTGTACAGTGCGGAAAGTGGTCAAGATATTTTGAAGCGTGTCAAGCAAATGAGGGTACCTGCCTTCACGAAATCTTTTTTTTCAAACTACACAGTGAAACCCTGCCGGTCAAAGTTTTTCTAGAGGGAAAAGGTATTCCGGTTGCATGGTCAGTAAACTGTTTACTTTGTAAAATGCCAGAGACGATAGAACACGTTTTTCTCAACTGTTGGGACGCAGTGTTCCTTTGGGACGCCCTTCAAAGGACCCTTAAAAAGGACCTACCGTTAACACCTCACGGAATCCGTTATTTGCCTGTTGATGGAGGAGACAGCGTGGTACCCTATGACATGATCATGCTGGTCGGTCTCCATAGCTTGTGGCGCTGCCGCATGGCTGTAAGACACGCGGACGTCGACGTGCGTCCCGCAGACAGGTATTTTGTTGAAATGATCTGTTTTTTGAAAGAAATGTTTAAGGTTCAGCAGCCACCCCCGGATTTTCTGCGGCTTCTTGAGGAGCTGGCGTCCATCACCGGTCTGTGAATGTGTTTGATAAGCTTGATATTTGTACAATAGCCTTTGACGCTTTTGTTTTAACCTTTTATTGTATGTGTAATGTGTTTGTCACCTAAACAAAAACAGGCAATAAAGAAAAAAAAAAAGGCGTGGTATAGTGGCTAGGATACCTGGCTTTCACCCAGGAGGCCCGGGTTCAATTCCCGGCGTCGGAAGGGCTGGGTCTCATGGTGTAACGGTTAGCACTCTGGACTCTGAATCCAGCAATCCGAGTTCAAATCTCGGTGAGACCTCTTTTTTATGACGGCATTTGCTGAGCTATTTGGTGCCGATGCGGATAAAAAAGTACTGTCTTTCAATTGTTCCCGTTCCGGCGTGGTCTAGTGGCTAGGATACCTGGCTTTCACCCAGGAGGCCCGGGTTCGATTCCCGGCGTCGGAAGGGCTGGGTCTCATGGTGTAACGGTGAGCACTCTGGACTCTGAATCCAGCAATCCGAGTTCGAATCTCGGTGAGACCTCTTTTTTATGACGGCATTTGCTGAGCTATTTGGTGCCGATGCGGATAAAAAAGTACTGTCTTTCAATTGTTCCCGTTCCGGCGTGGTCTAGTGGCTAGGATACCTGGCTTTCACCCAGGAGGCCCGGGTTCGATTCCCGGCGTCGGAAGGGCTGGGTCTCATGGTGTAACGGTTAGCACTCTGGACTCTGAATCCAGCAATCCGAGTTCAAATCTCGGTGAGACCTCTTTTTTATGACGGCATTTGCTGAGCTATTTGGTGCCGATGCGG